CAGTGTTGTTTTTAAGGAAAGTGTATAGACTTTATTATCATAAAGACAAAAATCTTTTGAGAACGTCTGTTTTTGGGGTTGGCAAAAGGATCAGCGGAAAGAGTTTTTATATAAATATTAATTAAAATTTTGTTATATACTATATATAATTTTTACAATTTTTTAATAAATATTTATCAAATTAAATACAAATAAATTAATGCTCTTAATATTTTAATATTTATATTTATTTATTGAAAAAATATAATAATAATATATTAAAATTTAAAATATATGATATTTTTATTAAAATAGTATATTTTTAAAATTAAAATATTACTGTAAAAGTATTAATTTACTTGATAAATTTTATTAAAATTATATATATACAGTATATATATTTAAAACATATTAAATAATATATTAAAATAATCTATGGATCTATAGTATAATAGTAATGCTCCATAAGTTACTAGGAGAAGGCCTAGGATTCAAACCTATCTGATTACAAAAATTTATTATCTTCATAATTAGTTAATCAGCTTTCAATAAAAATCATTTATCAAATTAAACTAGATTGCATGAAGATGGAATCTTTGATCTTTTTGATAATCATGAGCTGAAAATAGTTTGAAACAGGAAAGGTTGCATAAGGAAAGGCTTTTGGTCTAACTCTGATATAAGCCCATAACCCCAACTAGCATGACAGACTTTATAGTACCATTTTCTATTCAGGTTAAATGGCTTCCTAAATAAGTTGTATTCAATCAACCAATTTCTCCAAACTGACATGGCAGACTCTATATAATGCAGGTGAATCTCACTACCCTACTTGATATTGATACAATTTGGATTGGTAATTCATTTGGAAAAAAGTAAAATTATAAGTCAAAAAGGTAATTATTAAAAAGATTTTTCAACTGTTAGACAGGATTTTCCTTATATTATATTTACAAGTAGGAAGCTATAGTATAAATCAAGATATGGACCTATCTACTTGATGTAAGTTGGTATTTGATAAAAGGAATGGATAGCACAAGTTAATATTAGCAATAATTAATAGACTAATCATGTATAGATAATTGTGATCTTAATTGATTTAACAATAATAAAATCCATGCATGTATCACAACTTAACTCCCCCCAAAAAAATAACATATTAAAATTTAAAATAAAATTATTATATATATTTTTATATAATAATAGATTTAAGATGTGCAATACTTTTGTCCATGTAATATATATCAATAATTTGCATTTATATAATTATAAATATTTTACCTTTTCTGAGACCAAAACCGGACCAAGTTAAATTAATAATCAATAAACTCTATAAAACCGGCTTTATTAAAGGCTGGGATGGACCAGACTAAATTATTATCGATTATTTGTTAAATTACAAATAAAAAATATAAATTTAATTAAACTGTACATCAAATAAGGTTTCAAAATTATCTGATCTTGTTAGTATTCAACAAAATAAATTAAATACATATAATCGTTAAATTATTTTTAAACTTTTAATGACAAATTGTAATTTTATTGCAATTAACTTGTTAATAAAATCTTATACAATATTTATTAATCGAGTAAGTTCATCATCTCATATTCTTTGACTAGGTATGTTGATTCAACTAACCCAGCACATTGATCGAACCGAATGATTAAATACAGTATCTAGGACATAGTAGATAATCCTCAAATAAGAAACTTTAGTTTAGAAATAATGCCTCGTAAGATAATTATTGAAGATTTCAAAACAGTAGGCCTGATTTTATTTACAAATAAGAAATAAGATGAAATTACAATATTAAAAGTTTAAATAAATCAATTTCAGAAATAAGAATAAATATATAAACATAAATAATGTTTAATGAGTATAGTTACGATAATATAACAAGAAAATTTTTTGAAAGTTGCCGATTTTATTCTATCAATCCAGAATTTCTTGAGCCTTTGTCTCATTTCTCATTTGTTTTAAAAACGGAATTAGGTTTGTTCCGCCAGTACCTTTGATTGATTGCAACATTTTAATTGGAATAGTTGACTTTTTGCTTGTTGATTGGTTTATCGTGGTAGTTGTGGTAGTCGTCTTTGAATCTACATAACGAAGAAATATTAACGAGTTGAAATTATTAGATGAAAAGACTGCATTTAGAAATACCTTCGCTATTTGATGGAATAGATTTGAAGCGTGAGTTATCGCGATTTGCCTGGATCACAATGTATGCGCTGACTATTTGTAGATGCTTATTTCTAAAATTCCTCATTTGAGTCAAACAATCATTATATGCTTGAACCAAATCATATATTTCATTAATTTCTCCTGATGAAGAAATTGCATAGTTCGAGCTCGAAATAATGTAATTACGAATATTGGCAACTTTGGAAAGATCCTCGAGAAATCTCCGATGTGGATCAGGCATATTTTTGCGTATTTTATGTAGGTAAGGTTGTTGCTGCTTATTGAGTCTGCTAAAAGGACATTTGAGTGTACTATTAGAAAAAGTGCATCCGTTGATTTTGTTCGATATGTCGGCGTTCTGTTCAAAATCAGTAGGATAGTGTTCGATGTTAAGTGCAATATCCAAGGCTTGGATCAAAGCACTTTGACCAGCACTACCACCCGCATATTTACGATAAATTTGGTTTCCAAATTCATCTTTATTATCCACCCCTTCATAGATCAATCCTCTTGGTAATTGATCCTCATTTTCCCATCCGGCAAGATAAGGTCGCACCTTCCAATAAAAGACGTACGGGTCACATTTATCAAATATTCTTTGAAGGATCGAGATGATCTCTTTGATTATAGAACTGATTTCTTTTAGGGCTCTAAGCAGTTGATCATTATTCCCGGCGTTGGCTGCATTGACGGCTGAAACTATAGAAGAAAGAGCTCTCCCTCCACATCCTTCTATGGCGGTTGTGACAAGGTAAAACCATGATTCATCCAAGGTATTTGTAAATGTGAACAATGTGGAGAGATTGCTATTACATGAGAATTCATTTTAATACAAGAATAAGCTTATACCGTTTCTTTCTTTTGAAGTTAATATAATTAATATGATAATAAGTACTTTAAACCGAACGGTTCTTCATTAAAAATCAATCGCCAATTCCACAATACAACTGCTGCATGATTCTGTATAGGAGCAACTCCAAGATGATCTGAAATTTTCACCCAAGGTACTGCGATACAGGCCGGTATTTTCTACAAATGATTATTTAGAGGTTTTAGATAAAATGTGTATTAATTGACATTTATTTGAAAAGAAAAGTTATTAATATTTACTTCGGATATTTCCTCAGATCTTCCCCATACGTAACCGTGAGCTAGAAAAGACAATACCAAGAATGCTCGGCGATACTCAGCTGGTGTGACGAGAAGGTTAGTATCCAAAACTGACATCTATTTTAGAAAGCGTTGTAAATATCTTTAAAATCATTGTTCAAAAAAATTCTGTTAATCGGATGAAACCATACTTTATCTACGGAATGTCTAAATCTTCCTGCTAACATTAAATCGTGAAAATTGTCCATCAGCTGTTCCCATGGCTCATAGTAAATATGAGGTAGGCGCCCTAGAGGTGGTGTTAAGGGAAGAAAACCCGTTTTAGGGTTCAGGTCATAATCTTCCATTCGAAATTCCTTTGTAGAATTTTCATTTATAAGTGATAGAATGCTACTTGGAGGCATCTTTAAAAGAGTAGATAAATAAATTTCTTTCTTCTCAGAAAATTAGGTTGAATAAAGTGATAGAAGAAAAGGTCAAACTTTTAAGCATAAGATGATCTGACAAGGTTGTTTTATGAAGAGGGCTTTGAAACTCATCCATAATCTGGTGTTGATTTCGAAAAAATTAATTCACAGATCAAGCGCTTATTAATTTGGCAATGTAATAATAACAAGTTTCACAAATAACTATGAGTCAGTCATATTGTAGGCTGCACATATTATGCGTCATGTATGCGGAAAAACATTAACCTCGATCAGGGGCGCGAAGCAATGACTATCGAATGGACATTTCTGGTGTTATAACCGATGCGCCCGGCTTAGGTTCGGAAAGGGTCTGATTGGATAAACGGAGCCTCAATGACTATATATAGGAATATGATGCCGTTTCATGATTAAATTTTCCCACGATAAAAGGAGAAAAGAATGACAAGTTATGGTTCATTATTACATTGTGTACTTTTTTTTAATACTTAAACCTGTAATCAGGCGAAGTATATGATTTATTTAAAAATATGATTGTTATTTTACCAGTTATACAGTATTATATATACAGAAATTAATAATAAAATAGAATTTTTTTTATATTTTTTTTACGCATGCAAAATCATATTTATTATTATCTATAAAACAAATAAGCATTAATATGAAATTTATATTATTGTTCAATTAGTATTATAAATATTAAATACATTATATATTTTTTATATATTGTAGTTTTTTATAAATTATGTTTTTTTTTTTTTCAAATTTTATTATTTAAATATTTTAATTCTTATATTTTATTATATTTTATTTTTTAAATAAAAAATATTTAATATATTATATTAAGAAGTTTTTTTTATATTAAAATAATTTAAAGATTTTTAAAATAAATATAATAAAGAACTTTTTTTTTTTGAGATTAAATATACTACATATATAATTATTATAAATTACATATTTCTATATATAATTAGTATATTAGCTATACTAATATTAAACAATATATTTAACTTTACATATTTAAATATATTAACATATATCTTGTAAATGGATCTATATATCAGTAAGAATTCAAAGGTATAAAAATTCTATTTTGATTTTTAGATATAAAGTGAAATAATAATATATTAACTAAATTATCAAAGTCTTTTATTACTTTTTTATCTTTAGTTTACTTTATAATGATACTTATAATCTTATTTAATACTTTTTAGTAAATGCTTCAGGAATTTTTTAATTAATATAAACTATATACATTGAACTTTTTCTAAATGCACACTTCTCAAGACCATAGGAAAAATTTTGAAAAATGTGTATTTATAGAAGGTGTGCATTTATGGAGATAATTTTATTAAGAGTTCTATGTACTTGGAACCAAGCTTGACCGTGCATTTAGAGAGAGAAAATATAGTAAGTATATTTAGAAAGGTCTTTCTGTATATGGTATAAATTATTTTGCTATTGACTTAATTCCTAAAATCCTTAAAAATAATTATATTATAACTTAATTATTTATATATTTTAATAATGAATTAATTAATTATATCAAATAATTGTATCAATTGTATCAAGAATCTATAAATTTCAGCAATATATATAATATAAACTATCAAGTTTGAAAGTCAAATAATCAAGTGAAGTATAATTTTTAAATCTTTTAATTGATATTAACTATTAAATTTAAGAGTATAAATATCAAATAGAATGCAATTCCTATTTAGTTACAAGCTTTATCCATATGTTATATAATATTTATATCAATAATTATTTTTTTCAAAACTATCTAACTTTACTAATTTAACAAGTATTAAAATTATAACCATTTTATTAAGATGTTATAACATAATAATTATCTGATTGATAATATAATAATTGTTAAAAATTATAAAGTATATGAAATATCTATTTTTAGTAAAATGATTTGATAATTATTTTATTGTGATATCTGATATTTCTTTTTATAATTTATTAAAAAGTTCTTATTTCAATTCATTAATAGATTATTTCAATAGTTACTTATTTCAAAAAGGCAATTAAAATAGCAATAAGTACCAATAGCTAATATAATTTATAAGTAATAAGTCTATAAGATAAGTTTTTTGAATATTTTAAGTAGCTTTAGAAGAAGTGAAAATCAAATAATATATTTGTTTACAAATAATTAAATCTAGAAATTTTTTTTTATAAAATTCTATTTGCCAATATAAATACTATCTTCAGTTTTCCTTTTCAATTTTTTTTTTAATATATTTTTAGTTAAAAATAGAACTTAACATATAATAACAATACTAATAATATTATAATATATTAGCTTTAATATAAATAGATTTTTGGGTTTATAGTCAATAAAAACAAGCTAATATAAAATAAAATCTGATATAGTTTAAATAATAACTAGAATAATTTATAGCTAGTAACTTCTTGTAACATATAATATATATATATATATATTAAATAAAATATACTAAATATAATTTAACTAGTGACCTATCTGGTTATAGTCCAGTGGGCTAAGGCAGGGTAGAGCTAACCTATGAACTACGGTTCAATCCTAGCTGGGGGCAATTCACATATCCCTAACGGGACTTTGTGTCACTGCTCCTGTAACTCGTGATAGAAAGCAATTTGGATTGTTCCGGCGATCAAAAAGCCTTATAGGTAGACTACATCCCATTGGTCAAAAAGATAGATGATCTGATTGGTAAACTTTCTGATCAAGTATTGCCCAGGAAATATCTCCAAAAGAGGGAAGAAGTTTCATGGGATTTTTTCAGTAGTGGAAGGAAAGGTACAGATGGCTAAAACCATTAGTTGCACAACTATCAGTAAGAGTTTCACATGTCCGTTGGTAGCGAGGATCCGGTCGGGATTGTAAGAGGTCGCTTGTATCATGGGATGTTCTATCCTAAGGGGTACACTTGTGACGGTTGACTGCATGCCCCCATAAATTGTAACCCCCTGCATGTG